TTTTTTTTTTTTTTTTTTTGCATTTTTTTTAGCAAATATTTTCACTCGTTGAATCAACTTAAATAACACTTTTGAATAGTTTAAATAAAGCAGACTTCTTCAGTTTTTTTTCACTATTCAGTCTACGTTTTTGTTTTTCTGAATTATTTCAAAAGCACTTTTTCTTGATCTTCTTCTCCCGTTTTGGTTTAGTTTTAAAAACGAAACAAACAGCTACAAAAGTTATCATTTTTTTAGTTGATAAATTTTAATCTTCTCTTGTTACTGTTAATTATTTTTCTATTGCACAGACAATGGTTTGCAGTTGTTCAGTGTTGTCATAATTCAGACTATATGTTTGCTCGTTTTCAAAATTATCGTATAAATTTTGCGCAGTAAACAGGAAGAACTTGTTTGCTAACTATCTGCTAACCAAACACAATGGTAATAAAATAAAAGTTTTGGTTATTGACTAGAAAAAAAAAAAACAAAATCGTATGATTTATTGGTAGAAGAAAAAAAAAAACAAGAAGAAAATAGTAAACTTTGTTATTTTATCGGTCAAAATACTGAAAAATTAAATCAGTTTGCTAGGTTTTTTTTGAATTTTTAATTTTTGTTCTACCGCTTAAAGTAGTTAGTGGAGGAAGCGAGTAATTTGATAAGCAACTGATAGACTGAACAAAAGAGTAGTGTAAATAAAACAAAAATTGTTGCAGTTGGAGATCAGACTGAAAGTACAAACAGACCTTCCTGTTTTCGTAATTTGGCTTCCTTCGTTGTGTTAACGGTGAAGAAGTTATATCCTCGTTTGGTCATTATTTGTGCGGAAAGCTAAATAAACACAAATGGAATGTTATGTTGTTTTTATCGTTATCCCAAAACAGATTCAACAGTTAACAGCCTTAGTGGAATAAGTAATAATAAACTGTACTTAAGTTTATATGCTGTATAAATCACCTGTTAATTATATCTGTGTTAAAAGGTCAGTAGGTCACTTTTTGCTTACACTGTTCAGATAAATTACTCGGCATAATATTGAGGCGAACAAACGACGATCCACTCAGTAATTGAGTTGTTTTGAAAACTTTACAGTCCAATCTTTTTTTTCTTGGATTATGAATTCATTAATTTTATTACTGACAGCCGAATGAAATACTTCCGCAGTTGTTGGCTTAGAACTTTTACCGGATTTTATAATAGTCAATTTAGCGTTGTATCTGATTCTACAATTTAATGCAAAAAACAAAAAGCGAAATGACTACGTACAATTTTTTCTGCTGTTCTTTTAGAGCATTTTTTGTTCTCTAAAATATTATAAAACATCCAAAAATAAGCTGACGACTACTCGGTACAAATTTCTTAGCGATACTATCGGCAAATTGAGAGATTATCAAGAAAATAAGTATAACCAAACTATTTGGTTGGTTACACAAAATTGCTTCTTAAGGAAAAAAACGGCAGGTTCTACAGATGTGCTTAGTTAATTTCTACTCCTCAGATGAAGTTTAGTTAATTTCGCAATGTCTGTTCATTAACCATTTGAAGACCAAAAAAAGCGAACTACAGGATAAATTTTTTTATTTACTTTATTTCAAGCTGACAGTATTTTTTTCGTTGCTTCTCTCCATTTTTTTGTTCGCCATTAGATTTTTGATTAGAAGACAACGAGGATTGGACGAGGAAAAGTGATAAGGAATAAGGATAAGCCAAATCAATCAATTCATTTCTTTAGAGTTGACAGTAAAGTTTACAGCTTTAATAATTGTTCAGTTGTTTTCTTTTCTTCGATTGCCGTATAAAGAATTTTTAACGAGGCTTTATTTTACTTTCAAACAGAAAAAGAGGTGGAAGGAAATGACAGGGAAAAGGAAAAACAGCGAGTAGGGAAGGAAAATTTGCCTAAATAATTCTGGTACTTTATTGATAATCCTTAGCTGTTTTTCTTCTCATTCTGTTCCCTTTCTTCAATGTTGTTTTTATTTTGAAGCGTTTTAACGCTTAAAACAACAATAGGCTCGACGATTACTGCCATCATTGTTCGTCATTAGAAAACGGATGAAGAGTTTACGGAATGATTTATTGGTCTTTTTAGGCTATCGAATTAGTCTACTTAAAACAGTTTTTTTCAGATTTCTTTTTCCTTTTCTAAATTTTTCTTATCCTTTTAATTCTGTGCAGGCTTTTTGCTACTAAAATTCTTTTTATTCAGTTCAAATTTTGCAGCTCCTTTTTTCTTTTTTTATTCTTTTCCTTTTATCCATACAGTTTTATCAGAATTCAACGACAGCAACAGCAGTACATCAAAATTTGTAGTCAAGGGGAAGAAAATAATATAATCTCATCGTTTTTTTTTCAAAGTTTTTCAATGTGTTTGTGTGTGTGTGTCTGTGTTTGTTTGTTTGTTCCGTTGTATGTTATTCATCTGTGGTTGTTAAAGTTGATCTGTTCCGACTATCACCAAACCACTGTTATATAGCAACTAACCAAAAATCCAAAAGTAATTCGCTCATTAAGAGCAGGAAAAAAAGAAGGAATTGAAAATTGCTGCAAAAATACATTAGCTTTTTTCTGTGTGTTATCAATTTAACCACGCTTTCCTGCAGTTGGCGGCGCCAACAATTAAACAGTTGTAAGATTCAGTTTAAAATAGACAATTTTAATAGTTTTTTATTTGTTGACTACCGTCATCTTTTCGTAGTCAACTGCATTAAAAATTTGGAATTTTACCTAATCAGTCATCCCTGATTACTGTATTAAGTATCCATATCTTTTTTCCTTCTAAATAGTACTTGTTGCCTATCTAAAAAACGATGAGGATGTGGGCAGGACACGGACAAGGAGAAAAAATAAGGAGAGTAGCAGAAAGAAGAGAAGGGACGAAAGAGGGGAGAGGGGACACTCTAGAAAAAAGGAGAGAGGATAAATTTAAAAAATTTTGCAAAAAAATTGTTTAAAAACTAGCGTATGTCAGACAAAAAATTTTCGTTGAAATATGAATGCATTCTTTCTTCACTAAATATCCGAGTATCCTGCCGTTTGCTTTCTTCTTCGTTATACAATCCGTTCTAATTCAAAAGATTTATCAATCAAAAGCAAAAAAACAATGATTGATAACTTATCGAAAGAAAGGAGAAAGCAAAAAAAAAGTTTTAAAAAGACAGCTTAAAATACTTAAAAGTATCATTTAACGCTGCTGCAGTGTTGCTTGGCAAATGCATCATTTATGTTGCTAAATTATGTGAGTCTCGGTGTACCTACAATCAAAAGCGATACGTACCTGTAAAAAGCATTCGTATTGATCAAGTTCGGGATCATCTTCTTCAACATCATTGAAAAATACAATTGATTTCGCATCTTCGGCAAAAACTGTTTTATTGAAATTTCGTTCTGTTAAAACCTGAAAACAAAAAGAAAAAAATTTGAATGAGCAAGCAATAGACACATGAAAAGAAATAGGAAGGATTAAATAAAAAGATGCTCAAGCTTTTACATTTTTTACCCCGGTTAATCAATCCAACTATCTATAAACTACCTATAAGCCTTGGCTTGCCTTTTAAATTCATACTTTTAATCTTTTAACGGATACCATAAATCTATTGCAGCGAAAAATCACCACCACCATAATTAGCGCTTAAGCTGCCATAAAGTCAGCAATAATTCAAAAATTTATAGCCTTCTTTTTATATATTTAAATAATTTGGCAACTTTAGTTAACTCAGTGGTTTATACAAGTGATATTGATAGGCATCAAGTATTGATAATAGCAAGTAAACAATTTGTTAACGCTACACTGATAAGTCTGAAAACTTCAACCGATTCACAACTGTTGGCTATGAAGAAAATTTGCAGCAACGATAACAAAAAAAAAAAAAATTCGAGTATTTTCAGCTAACAAACGTCTACCATCATATATTTCACTATCAGTTACCTCGGTTCTATCGAAACCGTCATACTCCAATTCGGGATAGCCAAGAAACATGCACTCTAAATCCTGGGTTTTGGAATTTGTCGACGCTGCGTTCGCTATGCAGCATAGTAATGCTGCTGTTAATGCAGCAAACAGCAGCTTCATATTAGAACCTGTAAAAACGATCTATTTTAGTACGCCTTGGCTTAAATTCTTCTGAACTTAAATTAGGCTACCAGAATAAGAAAACGAAGTGCAACAAATGGCTTAATAAAGCTGTAAAAAAAAAAAA